TTGATTTACTTGTGAATACGTTGCATCTCCAGGTTCTCCAGGGCAGGGGCTATTTTATTCCGGTGTTTTGCAATTGAGCAATTAAAAGTGTTAAGTAATTAAGAGCTTAACAAATGCCCCATTTAGCACCAGCTGCACTACTTTTGGACTTCTTAGGATATCTCCATCCTGCCCTTTACTGGGTAGCTTCATTCTTTAGCCGTCCTTTCTTCCCACACCTTTTTTAAATATCCTTCTAAATGCTGTCTTTCCCCAAAAGACTATAAGCTCCTTGAGGGCAGGGACTGACTTAGTATTTGTATTTGCATCCCCAGAGGTCAGCCCTGTGCCCAGCACACAGTGGATGAGTGTTTATTAACTGACTAATTGAGCCTCACAACTCTGTGAGGTAGATAGCATAAGCATGCTGTCTCCGTTTTGCAGAAGAGGCAAGTGAGGTTCAGAGAAGAATGAATCAGAACTGAAGAGTCTAAAAGGAGCACCGAGGCAATGCAGTCCAAGCTATGCCAAAGGAAACGCATGCTCCCACATCCTTGAGTGGTCACCCAGCCTTTGCTTGTGGAGGAAGTGCATTCGAGGTTCAGACAGTGCTCATCGCCAGGTACTTGTTCACGACTTCGACCACTGCTGAAATTCATCTTCCTGTCTTCTGCGGCCAGACAGAATCAGGGTACTTCGTCTGTCTTTTCAACCAGCCACACATCCTATACCTTCTCATGGGCTAGGGGGCAAGCAAATGCCTTAGAGCTCGGCCGTCATTGTCAGGATAAGGAAACGAGCCCAGACCAATGTCACGCTTCCACAGGAGTAGAATCAGGACAGATAAACAATGAGAGCCTGGTGCTGAGTCCAGATTTGGGGCCCTTCCCACTGAGCCCTACTCCTGGACAGTAGCTCCCATCAGCGCTGATCTTCTCATCTTACCCCTTCATTATCTGCTATGTTCTCTTCCAGCTTAACTGATCATCAGAAAGATGCCTGCTGCCCCAAAATGCTGATTAAAGAAAACAGACTCATCTCCTAGCTCCTGGGCATGGAAGTGAATTTGTGACGCTGCATTTAATAGAAGCTCAAATTCAGCTAAGCCCAATTATAATATCTTGCTATGATGAGAAATTAATTAAACATCTCCATGATAAAGACCCCAGGAGCAACGAGAGATTCTCTAGTAAACACACAGCCAGGGAGGGACAGAGAAGCATGAGACAAAACGAGGAGGAAGAAAAAAAAAAAACACACTTAGCCCATCTGTTCTGACAGTAATGGGCCCTGGTAATCTTTTCAAGAGTACATTCAGTGCATTGTACTGGAAATGCAACTACCTGGCAGGCAAATTCATCCCGTTTCCTAATTCTGCTCTTCCACTTGGTGACTTGCTAATGTGAAACACATGTCTCCCTCCTGCACCCAGTTCCAACTGCCCTGGAATTCAGTGGCTGAGCCAGAATCAGGGGAGAACATGTCACCATTTAGAGCTTTCAGCAAAGCCCTTCAGTCGCAGCCAGCACCCTATTCCAGGGAAGGATATCAATTATAGATAGTGACTTGCTTTAGCAGCCCGGTCGGGACTGTCAGGCACTAGATAGACAGCCATGGAGACTCATGAATCTTTCTATTAACTGTAAGAGATGGGGGAAGAGCACAGGTCGGGCTATAAATAAGGCCGACTGGTATCAGAATGCTTTAACACCTCGACTCTTGGCTGTCTGTGTTGGGAAAATTCACCGAATACAAGAAAACTCCTTCCTTTGGAGAAAGTTACAACAATCAAAGTTGTTTCTGGCTTCCCTGAATCCCACTTTAAAAAGAGTCCCTTCTATACTTTATTTTTTCTAGGTGGATTAAGTGAATTCACATAAGTTATGTGCCACTTCTGTAGGAAATGCCCCGGGGGACAGAAAATTGACCCACAGTGACCCCACATATCAGGCCTTCCAAATCTGCTTTACTACAATGTGAAGAAAACATCTCATAAATGAGAATGGGAGTTGAGACGCTGGTAAGTTTCAGAAATTGCACCTCATTGAGGAAATTCAATTCCAGTAGAATTTCAGCTCTTTGGAGGAAAGGGCCATATGACTTCAGTCCTTGTATCCTGACACTGACAGACAGTATTTCAGAGTGGACAGAGAGTAGAAGTTGGAGTGATGAAGACCTGGCTTCAAGATTTTCTTCTGACATACCCTGGCTATGTGACCCTGGACAGGCTTCACGTCATAGTGCTCTAAGCAATTCTTTAAAATCACAAGGTGCTAAGAAATTGACCAGCAGCTTTGGCGGAGAGAGCTTCCATACCAGGAATGTCCCATGCCAGTGAAATCATAGATTGGGAAGATCTCAAATGTCAATCCATGGGGCATTATAGTAGGCACTTAATAAACTGTTGCTGAATTGAATTGGGAGGAACTGATACCTGTCTGGAGCTAGAATGGACTACAAAGGCCCCACTTTTATTTTTTTTACAATTATAGGAAATTGGGCTCCAGGTAATATCAAGGATTTGTTCAAGGTCACAACTGTCATATAATCCAACCTTGTAGAGATAAGAAACTAGTCAGATTTGGGGCCATAACTTTTTCAAGGTCACAGACACAGAGGAGCAGAGCTCAGGACTTGTAGGCTCAGACCCAGAGCTCACTGCAGTGTAGAGAAAGCCCTGGTTTTTCAGTCCTGGAACCTGGGTCTAGTTGCTGCCTCCAGTGGTTAACAAAGTTTGGTCCTCTTGGATGAAAGCAAACACAAAACATTTTCTTTAGTGGAAACATGATTCGCACAGTGGGAATTTTCATGATTTGACTCAGAGGCCATCAGATGATAGGTAGGACATCTTCCTTCTCTGCTCATTTTCACTGCTCAGTTTTGAAGGGCCTTTGCAAAACCGGCATGAATTCACAGAAATTGCCTCTCCTGGCCTGCCTGCACATTCCTCCCTCCGCTGCCTCAGCCTATTTTAAAAAGCAGAGGCATCTTAAGAAAGGGCAGTGGACTTGGCATCAGAAGAAGGGTTTGAGATCTGGCCTCGTCAGCCTCCGGTTCTGCAGGTGTCAGGCCTTCTCCACAAAAGCTGACGTTTGGCCTAGATCCCTGTGCTCGAGTAGTGGAGGCCCATGATTCTAAGCCCGGCGATGCTTTCTCTTCTGGGGTCCATGGCTGTATCTGCATGCTCATTGTGAACCAGGATGGCGACGGACAAGATAGGCACAGTCAGAGAATCCTAACTGAAGGATCCAAGGGTCCACCTCCAGGGACGCCTGCTCCCTTGGAGGAGACGTCTTTCATGAGCCGCTAGGGTTGACATGTATCCCCACCTGGCAGTTGGCAGCCCTCTCTCCACCCCTTGGATCCATGGTTACAGGAAACACTCATGATCTCTGGCTATGCGACAGTTTTTTGACCTTGGATTTAACTCAACTGGACATGCATGCATTAAACACCTACTATGAGCTGGCGCTGTGCTAGACATAAAAGACAAAAATGAAAATCTCCCCTGCTGTCAAAGGAAGAGAGATAATCCTAGCCCTCACTTCACCAGCCCTTTAAGTAGGTTGGCCAAGGGCTTGAATTGACTTTCTCCTTCTGGACCATGCCTAGCAGTCTACCACAAATTCTGCAACTTCATTTCCCAGCTGAGGAGGTGAATAGAGAAGATGACAGGCCCTGATTTTAAAAAATCAAAAGCCCCTGCCTATGGGATGCACGGGCTGTCCCAGATGGTGGATGTTGGCCCAGAACACACAGTAGGGGCCTAGATCGTACTCAAGATTCTGTGCATACTACACTAATGTTAGAAATGCATGGGATTTTCATTATTTAATAATTCTCCAAACATCTATATTGGCTAAGAATGAAAACCAAAGGGCATGTGTGTGGCCACTCACGTGCATTCCTGAGCCCGTGAGGATGGAGGCAGGGATGGTCACACTCAGGCCGAGCTTACAAAAATCGCCTCATGTCAAGAGCGTCTTAGAGCCGAGGCACTTGGACACTGGACTTCACACCAATCCCCGGCCCGGGCCACCTGCTGAGCTGCAAGAGCCTTTTATGCCTGATTACCCCAATTGACAGGGAGCTCAATGGCACCAGTAGCATTTCTGCTCTGCCCCGCCCCTGCTCTCCACTCTCCCCGAGGAGCAAAAAGCCAGATGTGGGAAAAAAATATGAAAAACCCTGTGATGCCCACTCCAAGAAAATCTCTGTGCTACCTTTCTCAGAGAGCGGAATGGCAAATTAACCTGGCGGGGAGAATGTGGAGCTGTGGGAAACAGGTGAGTTTTGGAGCATAAATCCCTGGGTTCAAACTCTGACTCTGTCATTAATTGCCCATGTGACCACAGCTTCCTCATCTATAAAACGAGGGGTTTGGACTCATCGGCTTCAAAGGTCCTTTCCATCTCGATACCTAGGACTCTGGAACCATGGCATGAAATATCACCAAACGCATCATAACCAACGTCTACCGCAAAATCCCTCTGAGTGCGTGCAGAACAGGAAATCTACAATTCACTACAAAGGAGCCTCTGGGTGTTGTTCCTGCACACTGAGGGACTCCAAGGGTCCCTGGGGAGGCAGGCGGGGGTGGAGGTGGAGGCGGAGAAGAGAATGGCCAGAGACCCCCTCTCCCCTCCTGTATTGTGAGGGGCCTGGGGAAGGGGGCGGAAACGCCGCTTGATTCAAAGGTTAATCATAATTCATGTCCAGCTTACTATCACTCAATAACCATCAAAGTCTGAAACTCCAAATAGTGTTGTCGGCCTTCCAGGATCAGAGCCATTACACTCTCTGCAGAAGGCTTTATTGAATTTCCCAGTCAGCTTTAGTTGACTGAACAGGTCAAGAACTGTGGCTCAGAGTTTTCTTTCTTCTTAGAAACTCATAAAGCCCTCTCCGCCTTGCGACGCTGCTGCCTCAGAGACTTGACTCAGCCCGGGGTCAGTGCCGCTGACCTCCCGGGAAGAGGCCACGCCGTTGGGAAGCCCCACTCCGGAACACCATTAACTTACGTGCACGAGCTGCTCCTGGGTGTCAAACTCCCGCGTGCAGCCCTCCCAGTGACAATTTGTCTCGTAGACCACTTCAGGCTCTTGCTTGTTCTCATCCTTGTCCCCTTCCTCCTTGACGAGGGTCATTCCTTCAGGCTGTTCCTGAAAGGCAGAGGGTGTCGGGGAGGGAGAAGAAAGGAGGAGACTGGGTTAGATGAAGAAGAAAGTAGAAGAAGGGCTTCGGGGGCAGAGGCTAAGTGTGGGACAAGAAAAGCCAGACCAAAGATGCAGCCCATTAGCTAGTGAAAGAGAAGGCCTAGGGCACCCCAAACCAAGGCGCCTGCAAGCCCTATTTCCTTGAGTCTTGGATATGCTTTGATATCCTGTGTGACCCTGGCCAACTACCTTACCCTCTCTGAGCCTCAGATTTCTCATCTGCAAATGTTCTGTGAGGGCAGGGACTGTTTCTTGTCTTTATGTCTTTCAAAGATTGTTTTTGTTTCATAGATTATCAAGCTACAAAGGACATCAGAAATCACCTAGTTCAATGTCTTCATGTTACTGAGGAAGAAACTGAGGCACAGAGAAGGATAGAAGCTTGCTTTTCAATTCAGGATCTGAACTTTTGGACCCCATTTGCAGTAGCTTTTCCCATATGTCCTCCTGACTGCCTTATATACCAAAGGTACTTAATACTTGCAGAATTCCTGAATTCAACAATTTACTGACTTGTCATCAATGGGTTGATATCTGGCAGCTTTTCTACCTTAGCTGATGGCCTTGAGACCCTTGGAAATCTTCCTCTGGTTTTCTCATACTTTTTAATAAAGGATCTGATTTCAAATCCTGCCTCAGACATTTACCAGTGGTGTCACCTCGGGCAAGTCATCAGCCTCTCTCAGGGGTCAGTTTCCTCATGTAAAATGAGGGCTTTGGACTCCAAGGTCCTCTTGAATTCTCATTGTGTTCTCCTTATATACTATTTAATAGATTTGTAGCTATTCCAAGAGGTTTTCCACTTGGTGACAGGGAAGCCACCAGGCCCTTTAAACACATGGTTCACATTAATACTGCCCTCCCTGGTGGAATTTCAGAGCCCCATGTTCATACTGTCAAAGGTCGAGCAGTTGAACATGTTTGGGGGGTTGCTAGCATCCCTCATCAGCCTTCCCCCACCATTCCCAGTCACAACCATCTTCATGGAAATGGAGCAAGCTCTACATTTTGGGATGGGCTGGGTCCTTCCTCAGGGAGCCACAGAGGCCACTCTGTCCTTGCTGCCACTCTGAAAATAGATTCAAAACCTTTCCCTCAAGTCCAAACCAAAAATTTATGAAGGTTCGCTAGAAAGCTGAGTCCAAGTCCAAAAGCCAAGTCTAGGCTGTAAAGGGGCCTGGATCACACTTCTGGGGCTGCTTCCACATTGGAATTCTAAGTAAGCAAGCCCAGAGCGAAGCCCAACCTAAAATGCTGGCTGTGTCTTGGCCATTTCCCTTTTGCTGGGCCATCCTGTTCAGTTGGGTCTAGGGCTAGCATGGGCTGTCTGGACAGTGGCAGCAACCATGTCCCGTTATGGCTAAGGTCAGATCTGGCTTTCCCTATGACTCAGTGGTTTAGGCTGAGGTCAGGAAAAGAGATGAATGCTAAACCACTGCCTTGGTGCAGGTGAGCATGGATGAGGAAGATCGTAGCACACTCATCCACATCGAGTGGGTTCTATTCATTCGTTCAGTAGATTACAGATAAGCAAGCCCTATCTCCTCTCCACCTGGTGATCGCTGGTACCTCACTCCATTACCTAGAACTATCTCTTGTTTTTCTTGTTAGTGTCAGGGTTCTGTTCTCAGGATACAAAGAAACAGGAATCCAGTGAATCCGGGTTGCTATTTGGCTCTGGGCAACAAGAGGAGAGATGCCAGTTTCTGCATGTGTTCCTGAATATCTGAGTTGGGTGAAAGGAATGCCTGAAATGAGCTCCAGAGGCTACTCAGCCGGCTCTCTGGGGAGGAAGGGAAAGGCCACGCTGAGAGGAGCTCCGGGTGCTGTACCTGCAGACTTGCTGCCCCCGGGCTGGGCAGGTCTTCATCAGCTTTGATCTTGGAGCGCTTGCTGTGCATGGGATCCCCCGTGCTGCTCACTGCAGACTCACTGGTCGGTTTGTTTTGCTGCTCAGGTTTCCAGTCCAAAAACAAAAATAAAGCCCTGGTCAGTATCCAATCCCGTAACCAGACCCAGAAATCTCTATGAGTGGCTTTGCTCAGTTTGGAGGACAAACTGAACTGGAGGAGAGCTCGGGGACCTGGCTTAGCAGCCTGAGTGAAGCATTCTTTCATTTGGATCAGAGTAAAGGGGAAAAGGGATGTTCGATCTTTTCATTCATAGGTATAAATAAGCCTCAGTCAATGAGTGGAAATGGCGTTTGGACTCCAAGGCTTAACAGCTCTCACAAAGAACAAGCCCAAATGGGGAAAACACAACATTATGAAGAAAACACCCTAACCAGAACAGATGGGTGAGTTCTTTTCCTTGAGATGCTGCAGTCTTCTTTGCTGGATTAATGGGGCTTTAATGCTTGCATAACACATTACAGATATTATATCATCAGATCTTCACACCAACCCGGAAAGGTAGGCGCTATTATCATCCTTGTTTTACAGATGCAGAAACTGAGGCAGCCAGACATTAAGTGACTAGTCCAGGGTCGCACAGCTAGTGAGTGTCTGAGGCAGCATTTGAACTCCAAGTATAGTGCTCTCTGTGCTGTGGTGCCACCTAGCTGCCATGTCCAAGATAGCATCCTGCACCTGACAAGGAGCCAACGCCTGCCTCTAAGAGGCTGTTCTATTATTTACTCTTGTGACTATGTGATTCTCTTCAAAGGTTCTCAAGAGACAACAGTGGGTTTTGTTCTCTCTCTCTCTCTTCTCTCTTCTCTCTCTGTCTCTCTCCTCTGTCTCTCTGTCGCTGACTCTCTCTGTCTCTGCCTCTCTCTGTCTCTCTTCTCTCTCTGTCTCTCTCCTCTGTCTCTTTGTCTCTCTCAGTCTGTCTCTGTCTCTGTCTGTCTCTCTGTCTCTGTCTGTCTCTCTGTCTCTCTGTCTCTCTGTCTCTCTCTCTCTCTCTCTCTCTCTCTCTCTCTCTCTCTCTCTCTTCTCTCTTTTTCTTGTTCTCACCTGTGTGGCCTCCGACAGACCAGAGCTCACTTGAACAGGGTTCAGGACACTAGGAATGCCAGGAATGGGTCTCTGAGTAGGAAAGGTCGGGGCCGGGTGGATGAGTGGAGGACTGTGTCCAAAAGCAGATCCTAAACTTTGTTGCCGACTTAAAATCTGTTGATGCATATGCTGGAAAGAGACTGGGGTGGGAGGGTACGTGAAACTCAGAGCAGGACTGCAGCAGGAGAAAGGAAACAGACAACAAAGACAACACACCGTTACTTGGGTTGAATCCACAAGGATGTTGTCCATGTGTAGTGGCTTCTTCCCCTTCCTTCCCCTGTACCAGAAGTCAATGGCATCAGTGGGTCCAAGCTGGCAGTGCCTCTATTAGCAATCTGCTCCAAATGACAACCCCCATACTTCCTAACATCTCCCAACAGCAAGACCGCTGCCTACCAAGACACGCACACACACACACACACACACACACACAAGAGCACGTGTGCACTAGCCTAAAGAAGGCTCTGCAAAACAAAAATAAAAGGCAAGGAGTTCAATAACAGCTATTTATTGCAATAACAAACTTTATATAAAAAGGGGCCAGGTGACGACATGCTTTATAGGAAGTGCTTTTCCCGGGGTACGGAGCTCTACAGACTCTCATGGATGAAGCAATTCCTTTCATCACGGCTCAGGCTACACTCTTTCATACGTCTCTAGATCTTATTACAAGAGGAGAGAAAATCAATTGGCTGAATGTGTTTTGAACACCAAGCTTGTCATATCACTCATTTGTTTGTTAAGACGGAAGGCTCAGTTCATCCAGAATGTCACCTCTAGAATTTCCATCAGGGCCGTCTGCTCCTGAAAGCTGATGGATTGACCTCTCCCCTTGGAAATTGGTGATCAATGGGCTTCAATGCAGAAACATCCCGATGGGAAAGTGCATCTCCTTGTGGTTAAACAGCATTAAGTGTCTATTAACGCCCATTATGCATGCTAATACCTGTCACCACTTCATTACGCCCTCCTCCCTGCCAGGCTTCCCCAGACTAGGGCTGAGTATTGGCAAAATTGCCCTACAGTTTGTTCTAGGTATGGAATGCCAAACTGCTCTTTGTGCTGGACTTCAAAAATGAATTGTTCCGGGTGAAATCCTCTTAGAAAACTATGAAATGCTCACACAGCTTTTTGCCAATGGCTTAAAATTGCATGAAAAAACTACATAATTGCATTCGTGGGTCTCTCTTTCTCATAATCAGTTAAAATAGCCTTGCAAATTAAAAATTTTTTTTTTGTAACCGAAATGTAATACCTAGCAAGAATCAAGGTTTCTTGTAATGTCAAAGGTAGATTTCATGCAAATTTCAAGTCTGGGACGTTAATTACTATTGCTGTTAAGCACATTAACCGATAATATTACAATTTTTAAAAATCCAACCATTTCAACCATTTTTAGTAACCATTCAAAAGACATTCTTGGCACATTAATGTGACTGCAAATTCTGCCCACTGGACCACAATCCCTAGAAAGACGGCTCCAACGTGATTATATTACTATTATTCAGTGAGAGAGCCCAGCATTACAAAAGGCTACCAATTTAGGCCTGAATATCATTAAGAATACCCTCAGAGAATTTTACTAGTCTTTGAGGATCTCTTTTCATTTTGTATTGTATTTCTTTAATAAAGGGAGGCAGAAATGTGGTGAAAACAGTCCTTGTTCCCAGTAAGAGTTAGGGGGAAATCAGTAATAATATTCCGTTATTGTCGGGCCAGCGCTACTGCCAGTGTTTCTGTAAGCAACCATGAATGATTACCGTGAGACTCAGCGAAGGGAGCCACTATGGATGATTGATAGGACATTAATCAAAAGATGCATATCAGCCTCCGAATTTGTTCCCCAGCTTTCCCCTAATAGCTGATTTCATGTTCACTGAGCACTGTGCCAGTTTGTCCAATTTATTCTTCAGTGTACGAGCCATTCATCAAAGAACACAATGATTTAACACCCCCTGTCCTTTCAGTGAGTGAGCATTACTAAGTGTAACTACCTTATTCTGTTCATTAAAAAACAAACAAACAAAAAAGTAAACACCAGGCTGGCACCCTCCCACCCCCACCCCAAGCAATTACAATGTCACCCGTGTGAACGAACAGGGATAGAACAGGGCCAGATGGGCCTCCATGCCTTCAGTAAGGAAAGGGACATTGAGAATGGGGATGCTTCTCATTTGGGGAGGTAGAATGAACCGAGCAGCAATTTGGGGGCCAAATTTCAGTGCCCAGTAAAATGGGATTGAGGCGTAGTATGTATGTGGAGAAAATGTGCTGTTACGTTCAACTGTAAAATAAAGTATCATTACAGACTGCATAGAGATGCCCAAGGAGGTGACCAGGAGGTTAGGGAGATAAGGAGGGAAGGAGGAAGAAAGAGAGAGAGGAGGTAAAGGGAGGGGAAGGGAGGGAAAAGGAATTAAGAGAAGTTATTTTCTGTTATATCATAAATGTTCCTCTCAGCATTTTTTTTTCAAACTAGTGGTCCTCCCTGCCCTTCAAGGCTACATTTCCAGTGTAAGAATGGTAAGAAATTTTGGATTTAAAAAATCGAGAATTTTAAAATTTTGAATCTTTTTGTCACGATGAGTATTTGGATCTCGGTGGGAGCAGGAAGTGAGAGTTTCATAGTATGCTAGTTCCCTTATCCGTCGCACTTGGAAAGCTTACTCATAAAGGAAGACATGTGTGCAAGGAGCAAAAGTACCATTAACTCCCATTGTACTAGGAGTCAAGAGGTCTGCGTTTCAGTCCCAGCTCAGCAAAACATTGGATTCAAATGTTCATCTCTTTTCCTCCAGGCTATTGTAAGAGCCTGCTGATAGGTCCCCCTGCCCCTCCTCTATCCCTGATTAAGTCCATCCTCTAGTAGCCTGCCTAAGATATCTTCCCAATGCACTGTTTTAATCACACCTGGCTTTACTCAAAAACCTTGAGTGGCTCCTGATTGCTTAAGGAATAAAATATAAACTGCAAATCCTGGCATTCAGGGCCTTTACTTTATTGTGTTTTGCAGATATTATTTTTTTTTACAAATTCAAAATTTAAACCTAATTTAATTTTTCTTTTACAAATTGTGGCTACCCTATGTTAAGCAATTATCTGTCAGTGCCATTTTTCCAACAGCATGCACTCACCTCATGATCTGTGTCACATTTTGGTAACTCTTGCACTATTTTAAACTTTCTCATTATCATTATGTAAGTTATGATGATCTGTGATCAGTGATCTTGGATGTTAATCTCATAATTGTTTTGGGGAGCCACAAGCTACACACATATAAGATGATAAGCTTAATCCATTTAATGCTCTGTGTGTGTTTTCTGACTGCTCCACTGGCCAGCCCATTCTTTCCCTCTCTTCAGACCTTCTTATTCCCTGACACATGACAATATTGAAATCATGCCAATTAATAACCCTACAATGGCCTCTACGTGCTCAAGTGAAAGGCAGAGTCAATCCATGCTGCAAACTTCACTGTTGTCTTATTTTAAGAAATTGCCACAGCCACCCCAGCCTTCAGCAGTCACCCCCAATCAGTCAGCAGCCATCAACAAATCCAGCAAAAAAGATCATGACTCACTGAAGGCTCAGAAGATGGTTAGCATTTTTTTTTTAGCAATAAGGCATTTTTTTAAATTACAGTATGTACATTGTTTTTTTAGACATAATGCTACTGTGTACTTAATAGACTACAGTAGAGCATAAACATAACTTTTATATGCACTGGGAAACAAAAAAAAAATCCATGTGACTTGCTTTATGGTCTGGAAGCAAACCTACAATATCTCCAAAGTGCGCTGGTGGTCCCCTCCAAGTAGCTCAGTCGGCCTCCAGCCTCTCCCTTCTGTAATGGAACTTGTTGTTACGTAATATTGAAGGCAGGGAAGTTGATCCAGAGGAAGTGGGAGGGCAGCAGGTGCTGCTGAGTGCTCTGAGGGGTGTACCACCCTCACCAATGGTGCTCCAGAGCCAGGGCTTCCCTGCTGCCTTCTCCACCACTGCCAATCACCCTGCCATGGCAGAACAGTGTGAGCCTGGTGGGAACTGACCACAGAGAATCAGGTTCTCTCACTGGAGTCCAGTGTTCCTGGGGGCCTCTCCTGGTGCCTAGGTTGGTGTGCTTTTGTGTTCCAGGGCTCACAGCTGAGTTTGCCCAATGGCTTAAGTACAGGGAAAAGCTAAGCAATGTGGTGGTGGTGATGAGTCAGTCAATAAACATTAAGTTCCTACTAAGTGTTGGGGACATAAATACCAGTTAGAAAAAAAAAATGCTTGTCCTCAAGGCTACGGTCTACAGTGCATCCTTTGGTAGCATATATTGGGAGGCATTTGGGGGGCTCCCACAGATGGATTAGTGGAACCCAGGCACCTACACAGCCCTACTTTGATAAGGTTACTCTCTTGTCCCAAACCCTTCACTGGCTCCCCATTGCCTTCCCAATCAAATACAAGTTGTTGAAATGGATTTTCTGTGTTCTCCACCATTGGCCTGGCTCCCACTTTTCTAACCTCATTTCTCAGAGATGCCTCAGCCCATCTAAATTGGATTACACCCATTTTCCAGCCAGACCCTGCCCTCTTCTACATCCACAAATCTGCCTACACTGGTTCACACGAACTCCCGCCACTCCTGCCCCTGGCTCAGTCTGATCAAATGGGCCTTTTTTTCTTTTCTTTTCTTTTTTTTTTTTCAAATTCCAGGTCAGGGTCACTTCCTTCTTTGAAGCCTCTCCTGACTCCCCCAACCAGACGCAATTAGTCCCTGTTCCTGGAAGCCCCAGCTACCTTTGTTTGCACGTTTGGATGCCCACCCGCCCACCCCACCATCATTTTCAATGGTCCCAAGTACCAGACTACATCCTTCTTGTGGCCAAGAAATGTGTCCTTTGGTCTTTATCTTTCCCAGAGTCATTTTATGCACGTGCATCAAATAAATGTCTGTTCAGTTGAAATTGTGGCTGTCATAGTCACTTGCCTCTGATAGAATGCAAGCTACCTGAAGGGCCTGGTTCATTCTGGACTCTGCATCCCCAGCCCCTAGAAAACTGCCTGGCCCATAGTAGGTGCTTCATGAATAAATACTTGATGCTTAATTGATCCAACCAACATTTACTGAGTTTGGGTCCAAAGGGAGAGATCCCAAGAGGGAAGTAAGGGTGGGAATGGGGAGAA